TCCACACTGGGGAGAGGCCTTAAGAGTGCATGGAGTGTGGGAAAACCTTCCAATGCAGATCTCACCTTATATGGCACCAGTGAATCCATAGTGGGGAGAAGCCTTATGCATACAGCAATTGTGGAAAGGCCTTCACCCACTGCTCCACTTTTGTCTTGCATAACAGGAGCCCTACTGGAGAGAAACCTTTTGTGTGCAAAAAATGTGGAAGAGCCTTTCACGATAGGCTGGGTTTATTTGACACTATATCCTCCACGCTGGGGAGAAGCCCTATGAGTGCCTGGAGTGTTGGGAAGACCTTCAGCCAATGGTCATATCTCAAGTGGCACCAGCAGACTCACATTGGAGTGAGCCCTTTGAGTGCAGTGAGTGTGGGAAGACCTTCTGTGAGAGTGCTGATCTCATTCAGCCTACACCATCCATTCTGGGGAGAAGCCCTATACATACATGGAGTGTGGGAAGGCTTTCAGTCCCACCTCAAACAGTACCAGCCAGCACATCCACACTGGGGAGAAAGCTTACATGTGCAGTGAATGTGAGAAAGGCTTTACCTACTACTCTTCTTTCATCCTGCATTAAACGACCCACATTGGAGGAAAAACCCTACGGATGCAAAGAATTTTGTGACAGAGGAGAACTCATTTGCCACTTCTACATCCACACTGGAGAGTGCATAGAGTGTGGGAAGGCCTTCAACCAATGGTCACACCTCACAAGGCACTAGCAGATTCACAGTGGGGAGCAGCCCTATGAGTGCATGGAGTGTGGGACAGCTGTTTGCAGGAATGCAAACCTCATCCAGCATGCCATCATCCACTCTAGAGAGAAGCCCTGTAGATACAGTGAGTGTAGAAAGGCCTTCAGCCACAGCTCATCTCCACTCAGCACCAAAGGATGTACACTGGGAGAAACCTCGTCAGCACAGCCGAGGAAGCGCTACCTTTCACAAGTGAGAAAGCTTCAGTCAACATCTCAGGACTCATGTTAAGGAAAAAAAAAAAAAATTTAATGTAACCACTGAGGAAAATCAGTGGTCAGCCTATGGCCATTCGTGCCAAGAGAAGCTCCTTTAGTCCCATCTCTATGAATAAAGATGTCATAAATCATTATTTGTCATCTGAAGAGTCCTGTTTGAAATGGACACAGCCTAGATTTCCATGTCGGAGAGCTCCTCCATCAGAGAGGCTTCCTGATTACTGTGCTCTTAGAAAAATCTTAGCCACATCTTTCTTCTTTGTTTAGATTGAAATGTTATCTCAAGTATATATACTTTTTTTTTTTTTTTTAGGGGAGGAGGGTAAGGCTTGGGGTGTAGCTTAGTGCTTCACGTGCAAGGTCCTGGGTTCAATCCTCAGAGACAAAAACACAACTGGGAGGGAGATACAGAAAACGGGAAGAAATGCAAGCACACCTTCCTTCAGGCTTCTTTGGCAAGCAGTTTGCCGTCCTTTCATGATTGTACTTGGGAAAAGGAGAGTGTGGTTTCAATAATGAAAGAGCCCTGTTTTTCCTGTGTGCACACTCACTGCTTTCCAGGGTCAGGACAGTTAGACTGTGAGGGTGAGAAGACTTGGAAAGCCACCTTTGTCCCCTGACGTTGCCTCTGTCCAAGGAGCAGGAGCACAGTCTTTTGGGAGATTAGAGGCTTGTGTTTAAGGAGAGGAGGCTGCACACACAACTGCACATCTTCTGCACATATAAAGCTGAGGCTTTTTAAACAAGTATTTCTTCGGAGGCCTTAACGCACCCATCCTCATGCCTTCCTGATCCCAGTCTGTGTAGTCTTTATTTTTCTGTGGGACGGGGATGATAGTGTTCCTGACCAGTTAACTCGGCTGGGTCTCAGTTCTTTCCTTGGATTCAGCTTTCTCACTTCTTACTCTTCCTTACGCTCTGCTTGCCCTGTCCCCGTGAGTAATATTCTAGAAGTCAAGTGAAAATCAAAACAAAATAAAATGCAAGGCTAAATTGGGTTAAAGGAGCAAGTTAAACTCTGAAGAAAAATAACACACAAAGAAGGAATCTTATTTTTAATGTTATATAAGACTGTGTGAAGATTCACTGTGGAGTGTCTGAAATGTCAACAGGTGAGCCAGCAGTTACCTGTGAGTCACCTTCATCACCAGGGATTTAGTCCCTATTGCCTGATGATGACGACTACTACTGCTACTACTAGTACTCTTCCTCTTTCGGAGCCTAGTTTTTGAGCTGCATGAAGTAGTATTACCTTACATTAAATAGTATATTGTACAGAAGGATAAAAATAATCATGGGTTTACTTTAAATTCTCTGCCAAGCCTTTGAGGTAATCGCAAGTAACTTCACATTGGCATTGTGGGGAGCGTCATTTTTGTGTTGTGTTGATCTGTGTCATTTTTGTGATGACAGTTCTTTGTCCCTTTTACATAGTGCCTCAAAACTCTTCACCAAGTTGTAGGTCCTGCATATTTTTCCTTCCTTCCTTCCTTCCTTCCTTCCTTCCTTCCTTCCTTCCTTCCTTCCTTCCTTCCT